TTTACGGGGCACTATTTACCCTTTACTGCCCCTGCTTCCAAAATGGGCTGGACTTCTATCGAATTTTTTTGTCAAAAACATGAAACCGACTAGAAACTTGCCTAGAGAGGTAATTCGACCCGTAGAACACGAATATCGTATCCATTCGATATCCACAGGCGCCGGCGCCAAATGGAGCTGGGTCACCAATCTTGCTGAAAACTTGCCTCTAAGTAGTGTGCCAGGCGTTATCATGACAAATGGATGCGATATACGTGTTCTACGGGTCGAATTACCTCCCTAGGCAAGTTTCTAGTCGGTTTCATCTTCCTGAAAAAAAAATTCGATAGAAATCCAGCCCATTCTCGACGAAGTGGGGCAGTGAAGGGTGCATAGTGCCTTTACGGAAGCCCTCAAAGAAAGTATCCTTCGCCTCAATCCGAAATAAATGTATTTTTTGATATTATGCTGAGTGTTTTCAAGAACCCTTGAATGTCAAAGAAACTCCAAGATTTCAGGATGATATCGACACATTCACTGAAGATAAAGTAATCGTGAAGAGTGGTAAGAGCTTCGACTGTGATGTCCTCATATTGTGCACTGGATATACCTTTGGTTTCCCTTATCTAGACAAGACCATCATAAATATTGAGGTAAGAAAAAGTAGAAAAATTCATCGTGAATTTTGTCATCAGCAAGGATTCAGAAGGACCACGAAGTGCCTCTTTACAAATTCGTCTTTCCTCCGAAAAATCCGAATATCGCTGTGATTGGATCGATCCAACCAATTGGAAGTATTGCTCCAATTTCTGAAATTCAGGTCTGCCACCACTAAGTTTACTTTTCAAATGAGTTGATAGGAGGCTTGTGACACTTCTATTTAGGCTCGTTGGGTAACCCAGGTATTCGTTGGGAATGCCAAGTTACCATCAGAAAAAGAAATGTGGAAGGATATCGATCTGAAAAGGCGAGTCATGAAAAAAAGGTATTTCGCAAGCGAAAAACATACAATGCAGGTAAATGGGTCAAATATCGAGACTGAGCTGAGCTGAACCTGCGTATGTCTTGTTTTAGGTCGATTTTGTGAAATATATGGATGAAATTGCTATAATGGTAGGCTGCAAGCCAAACCTTTGGAAGGTACTGTATTTTTTTCATTAGGAAAAATGAAAAAGCCTTCAAGATGTAGTTTACTTTCTGGCTAGGCTTGTCATGAATATTTTCCAGAAATTCCAGGGCAGAGATTGAAATATTTCTATTTCTTTTTTCATAAATTTTCGAACATAAGAAGATCATAAAAAAACGCACAACAATTCCAAAAAATGGTTCTTCATTACTTTTCATTTTTATCGTCGTACGAAATCCAAAAGTGGATCATAGTTACAATACGACCCAATCCTTGTTGTCACCTCTTTGCCCTATGACACGTCCATTTCTGGGCGTGGNGATTGGTACCTGATGCTCCCTTCACGCTCAGCGGAACGAATATCTCCGAATGCTCTAGCTATGTGTATCGAGGTCGAGAAGTTAACATGATGAACGACCTAGCTCCAGAGCTGTGCAGAAGGAAACGTGCGGTGTGGAGAGCGTTTAAGAATATCAAAAAGTAGTGAAGAAGACAAAGAACATTCGGCTCAGCGATCATCTTTTCGACTTTACTGCCTTCCTGCTTTGATGTACGCCTATGAGGCTTGGACTGTATGAAAGCAGTATGAGCATGTAGTCAGCGTCAACTAGAGACACTCAGCGCGTAGACACTCAACGCGCTTCAGAAAGGGCGATGCTTGGAATTTCCTCATACACACAAGTGCAGAAGGGAATCTGAAGTTACGAGCTCAGTAACCAAACAAAGGGATCAGGGACTCCGTTGCTTACGTCGAGAAATCGAAGATTAGGTGAGCCGATCGCGTGATGAGATATCACGATGACCGCTGGACTAAGCCGGTCACCGACCAGATCCCTCTGAACGTCAAACGAACACCATGATGGTCGCCAGACGATGGTCAGAGTCCTTCTCTAAAAGAAGTGCTGTGCCTTGCGTCCTTTTGGCTAGGACGATCCGCTTGACTACTCTGGCTCGCGACAGGAATTTACGAAGTTGTCTATGCCCTTCCGATGATGTCTTTGATCAAAGGACGACAGATGACACAGATGATCGAGAATTTCAGATGGGAAGAAAGGGGGAAAAGCGTAGTGTGACCTACAAATTGGTCAAAAATAATGGATGAAATGAAAAATTACCGAACTATTGATAAGGAGCAGCCCGCTCATATCGAAAGCGACGAGGTGCCATGCCTTTTACAATTTTGCTCTGAGACTTATAGAGACAAGAAATTCATAGTCCTTCGAGAATTTCTACAAAGCTGGCATAAAGTAGACGTTAACAGACGACACTCTAGTATATTTTAAATGATCTTTAAGTTTCCGGCCGTCTCAATAAAATTAAGTTGAACTTGGTGAACTAAACGTTGATTTTGTGTATTTTCCCGATTAAAACAAATAAACCAGGATTGATGAAGTTTTGGATTGTAGAAATTTGTGATAAAAATAAGTAATTCAGGATGAATACTTCCGATATGCTAGTATGAAAACGATTGCTATTTGGTCTACTGTGATCTTCATGGCCGGCCTGGTTACGTTCTGTTCCGGAAGTGCCGGCATGTCTCCATTAGCGTATTGTTCTTATCTTACCATATTTTTCTTCATATTTTCATTCATTTTAATGTGGTTCGACTTTGAATATAACATGACCACTATTATTTAAAAAGTAATTTTTATTATTTCTTGCAAATATCAGAGTCAAACTCTTTATTCAAAAGTTTTTTAAGATGTATGCCCTCCCTCGAGCTGATTGTCATAGATCGATTAGTTCTTGTAAGTTTTGTGATTTTAGAAAATATTTTGTTGTAATGTCAGGCTTGAATAGTATTTTGGTAGATTACTGTTAGCGATTTTTTACATTACTCAAGTATAACGTTTACTGTAAAGTGCAATACTGCTACTGAATTGCGTCCAACCAACAGAGGCGAAGGAAGAAACCCGGGCAAGCCATCGTTTTACAATAGCTTTCGCTAAAGTCTTCCAAATTAGTTGGGAATAAGGCAGTTGGGTAGCCCTTCTCGACTCGATTTCAGGAGCACACGGGATGCTCATTTTCTTGATCTATTCACTTTCGTTCCCTTGGAAATAAATTAGGATCCAAACCATCGGAAGTGTTACCTGTAGACATGACTGCATCACGAACTCTTCAAATATGGGGAAATTTCAATTGTGATGTTTGAAATTCGTATGTACGAGTACATATTTGACAATCTCATCAATTTCGACGCCTTTTCTACAGGATTTAGTCGGATTTCAGCTCAAGAGTTAGATTTTACCGATTTTTTTATCGGGAATTTTAGGATTTCCCAAGAAAGATTGGTCACTATAGGCTCATTCAGAATGCCGACGATATTTTGTTAAGAATCGCTAAAATTCCCTAGAGATGAGCTATTTGAGCGTGTTTCACTTTGAAATGAATACCAATTCAAACAGGTTACAATATTCTTTGATTCTCAGCGTGAATTTTATGTGACTTCGAACAACGCAACCGAGATCACGGAACAAATTAGCAGTTTTTGTATTACCCTACTAAATATGACTGTTTGGAGGAATTACTGGATAAAGTGTGACCATTTGAGGAAGAACTGATAACCCATTCGAATAAAATTTGCTCATAATCTAATAAAAATCTGCAATAGCAAACCAAAAATTGTGGGCGGGGAGCGATGTAGTACCAGGTTTCGCCAAAGCAACTGAGCCCTCCAACCCACCGGGGCCGGTTAATTGGTACCAGACTCATCTGGAGTGAAAGGGGCACTGACTGGTCACTGCACTTCACTGGGTAGGCCACATAGCCTTGAAAACGTCCCTACGAATCTGAATGGAAGAGGAACGGTTGGCACATCCCAAAACGGGATAGATTAAGTCAGAGATTCAATTGTTTTGAGTAGTTGTCAAGTTTTTTTTTCTTCAAGTTACCTCATCCTATTTTAATTCTAAAAAGTGTAATAGGAAAAAAGGTAGAACTGAGTTTAAGATAACAGTTTCAAGCAAATGGTCACATTTTGTAGCGTAGTAGTAAGAACTGTTGAGTTGTTCAATCATGAACTCAATCTCACTTATCAAAGTCAAAGTGAAGTCAATTAACATCGGAAATTGATGAGTCCCTGCTTTTTCTTTGGAATCGGTCCAAAGTATAATAGAATACGCTCAAATCACTCACAATCTAGAGCGTTTGGTAAGATTTCCAACAGGAGATCGATGGTACTTCAAATGAGTCACTATTGTATAGTTCTCTTTAAAAAATCCCAAAAAACGAAGTCAGTAAAATCTAGTTTATGGGTAAGAATTTACCTATAAATTAGATTTTACTGACTCCGTTTTTTCGGATCCAGGGAAATATATCAAAATGGTTTGAATGCTATGATCCTTTCAAATATGCTGATTTCCATGACCTTTCAATACTGAAACTGAAACTCCTCTTCGAAATGGAGAGCTCATGATGTCCGCAGGTAACACCTTGAGTATTTGGGAACTCAATCTTCCGTTTTCAAAAAATTCGAGTAATCTGAGAAAATTGCTATAAGCAAGATTATCCATTGTTTTAACTTCGTGAAAGGCTAAGTCTCTTCGCCGACCTCCGCTTTGTTTTGGAAACGAATTAGTAGTAGTACTGCATGATAGTATGTGTTGACCATATTTTGTGTATTGAATATATATAAATGAAATAAACCGTCTAAAGTCATTTGATTGAACTCCACGACAACTGATTGCTTCCTGAATGGATCCCGCATTCGACTCCTACTCACAATCGTAGTGGTGCTTTGAATGCCTGCGTGGTATATACAATAACTTCCGGTGGGTCGATGTACAGTTCAGTGCTTTTATTCTTCCAAACGAGTCTAGTATTAATTAAGCGACCTCAGGAGAGGTTGATCTGGTTGTCCTGGGCGTGTATCGATCGAGGATTAGATCCTGGGACGATTTTCCGAAATTCCCATTCCGTTTACATAATATCTTGCAAGGATACTCGTGCAGGCAAGGTCTTTCTATATCTGGATAAGTTGGATCTCGATAAATTCTACCCAAAATGGTTTATAGCTGGTTGCGGTTGGGCGGGATCCGGTCCTGTCTCCAATCCATCAATTTCGTACATTTGCATCTTTTGCATCAAACTTCACAGATATGTTTCTTCCACAATGGAGAAAAAACCCACAATGAAGAAAAAATCAGTCCAAATTTGGAAACGTTCTCCCTTTCGTTTTTTTTCGTTTTTTTTTCTTAAATTTTGTCGTAAAAACCCTCATTGCTACACTAGAACGATTCCAGGCCTGCAAAATTCATTGAAACAATCTGGGCGTCTTCGCACGTGATTTTTCAGAGACAAATACAGAAAGGTTCTTCACACTAATGATGGATGGTGCCACTGTCGAAAGCCACGACTGATCACCCAAATCTCCACCCCCCCCCCCCCCCC